ATTCTTTAAATTGAAATCACTTCTGAGCCTCCCGAAGTGCATATATATAATTCTAAATAACTTTCATATCTCTCTGTTGTTTTAATATTTAATTTTTTTAGGGATTTTCATAAAATTTTTTAAAAATTTCGAAAAATGAAAAAAAAAAAATATTTTCTAATGATTATACATGTGTATATTAAAATCTTATTAGTCTAATATATACTACAGTCAAACCTCCATAACTCGAACTTCTACAACTCGCACAAAATAGAGTGCAACAAGGCTTAGAACGCAAGTTATATACAAACAAAAAAAATTATCTAATGATTATACATGTGTATATTAGAATACTACCTATAGTATTCTAATATATACTAAAGTCAAACTTCCATGACTCGAACAAAATAGAGTGCAATAGGGCTTAAAGAGCAAGTTACACACAATTCTTAAACTCGAAGTCTCCATAAGTCGAACCTTTTCTTTGCAAAATGGTACTTCGAGTTATAGAAGTTTGACTGTATGTATAAGTTACAATTTTGGGTTTCAATTTTTCTAAAATTTTTACTAAACCTAACCATTTCTTGAAATCCAATATATTAAAATTGTTTCATCCTAAATTAACAACTAATAACGAAGATACCTTTAGTAGTCTGTTATAATCTAGATATAAGAGAATAAAGCTTTAACCTTTCAACAACATGTGGTCTATGTTGTTGTTGTTGTAATCCACGAAGACCTGCTTGTAAAATCTCTCTGGAGGGGTGTTGAATGGCATTTGGTTGTGGCTACGGTTCTTGGTAAAGTACATCGACGTTAGTAGCTATCTATAATTATAACTTTGTTTAGTCAGTACGCTGTGGGTTAAATATGCCCATTGCCTTTAAGTCTATGTTTGACGGCAATGCTCTAAAGTTCAATAAATTCGTATTGCAATAAATCCCAAAACAAAAGTTATACCTTTGCAAAAAAAAAATCGGAAAGAAGTCATATCTTCAAAAAATTTAAAAGATAGCCGGATTATGTATAATGTGACTAGAAAACAGGGACACGTTCTATCAAATTAGATAATATCATTTCATTAATTTGTACTGAATGACATGAGGGTATTTCGATAGGTAACTCTCTAGTAACTTCAGTTATTTCCTATTAAAGAGAAGCTTCAGATAAACTAAAAAATAGTTAATATTTATTTTAATTAATAATTAAAGATAAGCATATGCGGAAGCATAAATTTCATTGATCAGATGATATAAAATATTTCCTATTTTTTAAATTGTAGCAATATGAGAAGAGACGTGACAATCTTGTGAACAATATTTACTCATACGTTTTTTTATTATTTGTTAACTTCCATTATGTTAAATAAAAAAATGATTTGGTGCTTTGATAAAACTTTATGATAGTAAAAAAAAAATTATTTTAATTCCAGAGTCATTGTTATAACTAATCTATAACTAATGATTATTCCTATTTCAATTCAGATATGCCTTTAGGCCAAACGAAGTATATACTTTTCAATAAAAGGCTTATGTTATATATATGGATTATCATAATTTCTTATTTACAGAAAATCCATTTTATTGTATTTCAAGAACAATGTATATTTGATGTTATGTACACATCCATCCATAGATTATTTAAAACTGGAATATTAAAACAACTGATACATCGACTTGAAATTAATTTTACTTCATTTACTTACAGTCAAGAAAATTTACTTACACTGAAAAAAAAAACTCTTACTTAACTTCTCATTAAAATAATATGCGATATTATTTTTAAGGTTTATTATGGTTGGAATTATATACCTTTATACTAGATATAATGGTTTTGTATACTTTGAAAGTAGTCCAATTTTTAGCAGATAAGGTAATCTTTATTTACCTTTTCGACTCCTATACGTAGTTAGAACTGCTGTCTCTTATCTGAGATTGAGATATTAGCTCTCAATATTAACATAACTCTACATAAATGTGAACTGGAAGCAATTTTCTTCCCTTACTACAACTTGATGTATGAGTTTATGTTTTGAAGTTACAAAGATTTTTCTAATAACTTCAATTTACTTAATCTTTCTACCTTTGAATCCAATAAGATTGGAAAGATTTCTCAATTTGAATATGGGTTGAATCAAATTTTCTTTTCTTATCAGTTCAATTTATTTGTTCTTATATTTTCATAAAACTTCTTCATATTTTCAATTCACATTACCTCCATAAAGGAGGTAAGATTTTTGAATTTAAAGATAGGCCGGCCTAAATTTTTTCCTCTTACCATTCTAATTTATGTGTCATTTAAACTATTTCTTCTCTTTTCAATTCACTTAATCTATGAATTCTATAATGCTTAAGGTTAGATTTCTAAATTTAAATGTGCATTGAATTAAACTTCCCTCTTTTACTATTCTTATTCGTTTGCCCAAGTGGTAAGTTTGCAGAACCTGAATATGATTTATGTTCGCTAATCTTTCCTTACTAATGCCCATTCGTATGCCTCTTTATAGCTTTAACCTTTGTATATCATGGATAATATGTATAATCTGAATATGCCCTAGGTTCGATTTTTCATAACCACTTCCTCATTATTGAAATTTGATCATAACTCTACTCTCTAAGACGAACTAAAAATGTTTTAGCTTCCTTTTTATCTTTTCTAACTATTGACAACTGATATACAATCTTATTTCCTTTAGATGGTTTCCTTTATCATCTTATTTACATTTTTTTGGTTTTAAAATATGTATTCTCTTTATGTTTTCTGCTTGATAAAAATCCACTACGACTGTTGGAAAACTCTTACGAGCGAGAAACTCTAACTCCATGGATAAGTACGTGTGAACATTGTTGTTTAGTAAAAGTAGAACAGGAACAGAAGAATTACTTATCTTGTGAGAACTATACTATTAAACACCATATCTTGACCGCACAAACTATATATCGCAATACTTCGCTTCGTCATTTGCATCCCTTCAAGTAGACCGAAAAAAATATATGAAACTTTACACTTTACATAAAAACTTTTCTGCTTGATTAAGCACATAATGTGTTTTTTATTATTTAGTCGAATAATTGCTTTAAGTTATGAAACGTGATCGTTTTAATGATATAAAATCAGTGCCACCACTTAATACTTCGTAAACAATGAATTTGACTACAGTGTGTTCTGTAGATATGCTATATGGAGAAAAGAAAAAAAATTATGGAAGCGCTCTTCTCACATTCTCACATTTATTTACACACAACACGACAGATGTTGTTTTTAAAATGACTGTTTGTCAATAACATGAAAAATAATATTTCATAATTTGTCAACCAATCAATTTTAAAGGTATGAGCATTTCCGCAGTATCCATATATACTCGTCTATAGTTTATGACGTGACCTTTAATACCAACTTTAATTTCGTGTTATCTTTTTTATTGGATTTATATTTTATGAAAAGTATTTTTATGTTTATTGTATATAAAAACGTTCCCCAGTGTTAAAGAATAAAAGAATACTGCAGACCATTTGCTCCCCGGACTTTCACGTCAATATGTGCAATGAACTACCATATTTCCATTCCTTTTGGAGACTTATTGTTTATTGTAGACCATTTGCGTCCCGGAATTTCACGTAAATATGAGCAATGAAGTACTATATTCCTATTCCCTTTGAAGACTCATGGTTTATTGCAAACCATTTGCGCCCCAGAGTTTCACTTTCAATATGAGCGATGAAGTATCATATTCCCATTCCCTTTGGAGACTCATTATTTGTAATAAAATAATAATATTATGCAATTTAATAGTTGTACGTGTTTCATTAGTACTATGTCTTTCTTATAATTCTTAAATGTCTTGTCAAAAGTATTAATTTTATCGATCAGAGCTAACGGTTTGTATCACACATTTGTCATTTCCAAAAAAGTATGGAACTATCATAACTGCGGGCCTAATATCAAACCAGACAGTGATTTTTTGTTGATACGTAAATGCAATGATCTTTCAATATCAATTTTCAATATTTTCACTGCTTCATAATATCTGACTGTCTTGTTTGTTAACATATCCTCGAAGAATACAATTAGTTTTATCACTGAAGAAAATTTAATATAAAAACTCGTCATTATTTCTGTTGGTAGTTTTCACAATTGAAATATGTTCAGCTATTGTTAAACGGTTCGCATTAAAGATATGGCAAACCTTAAACTAAATGTATGGTGCCTTGATTGACACTTTTGTTTGATACATAATATTATATGTCACTGAAGCAGTGTTGCCAAATTAGAACCACATGATGGATAACCCATCATCTATTATCAAATTAAATAATTAACTCAGGGTTTAATTAAAATGTCCTTCCTAGAGTTTTTAATTATGTTCCATACCTTAAACTGTAAACCTGTTGCATGTCACTCAGCGAATGAAAGCCTTTAATGGTTTAATAATAAACGCTACTATTAATTTACGCCCCTTTTGTCTTGTGACCTATATATAGTAATTTATATATAAAAATGAACGCTAAGGACAAATTACTCCTACTCAACCCACAAAAATTAATTGAATACTTCAGTTTGGGTTAAAGAGGAGCATTCAGTACGCTTTTTTATGCGGCTTGTATTGGGAATGCGGCCAGACATTGTCGTCATAATAACAAACGCACTTAGTACACTGTTGTCATTGACGTAGCACTTGTCCAGTGACCACAATTCTTTTTTAATATTGACTTATGGCAACTTAAGTGTACTTCATATGTGTGAAGCTCTGTATGTGCATGGGCCACGACGACGACAACGACAATGACTTGGCTTTCATTTAAAAATGCACAAATATTGCAACAAATAATAAAGTCAATAAAGTGAACTTAATAAAAAATAAATAGATATCAATGACGCATTTGAGCGTTCATAGCCTCACGCTTAATATACAATATTTTAGGGATATTTGAGATTGACGTAGGCAATTTAATAACAAATTAATAAATATAAAAAAGCCAAATATATTAACCTATTTTCTTTGTTTTATGATCTTTTTCTAGTTGTAAACTCGAGGCACGATTAATTTTTAAATTCTTATTAAAGAATATAACACCATTGCAATTGCAATCTATTCAATCTATAATCCTTTAAGCCATCACAAAACCGTTTACTACGAATTTTATTTTCTTTTGAGTAAATAAAATAATTCAGAAGTTTGGGCAACAAATTGTCGCCGTCGACCGCTACCCTGGGAAAAATTATGAACTTGTGTTCCTCTGCAGGTGCTACAGCATCGTCAACGTCATTAGCATCCGCGGGTAAAACAGTAAGTGAAAGTACAACATCGGCAGGCACTGGCGGTGGCGGTGCTTTGACAACACATTGTTTTGGCAGTGGCAGCAGTTGTGCTGCCGCCCATCCATCATCCACAAACACAACAACAATAACACATCCAACACACAGTGGCACTGGTAACAATAACGAAATGCCACCCGAAACGCGTCCTAAAGTTGTAACTGTCAAACATCCAGAATCGAATAAACCCAAACCTACAACTAAAAAAAGCAAACCACAGCAAGCAGACCAGGATGTGGTGAAAGCGCTACAGCGTTGTAGAGATGAAGGTAACGCCATATCAATATTGATTGAATATATTATGGATCTTTTTTAATTCTTTTATTTTTCTTATATATAGGCATTAAACGTTTGGATCTTAGTAAATCATCCATATTCATAATACCACCATGCGTTAAAGATTGCACACACCTTACCGAACTTTATCTGTATAGCAACAAAATAAGTCAACTGCCCACAGAAATTGGTTGTTTAGTTAATTTGAAAACACTTGCACTCAATGAAAATATACTCAATTCGCTGCCAGAATCCTTACAGAACTGCAAACAATTAAAGGTGCTGGATTTAAGGCATAATAAACTTGGAGAAATTCCGGCAGTCATATATAAGTTGCGTTCGCTAACAACGCTTTACTTGCGTTTCAATCGTATTACCGCCGTAACTATTGATATACGTAATCTTACCAATCTGACTATGTTGAGTTTGCGTGAGAATAAGATACGTGAGCTGGGTGCATCAATAGGTGCTTTAGTAAATTTGACTACACTGGATGTATCACACAATCATCTAGAACATCTACCTGAAGAAATCGGTAACTGCATAAATTTGAGCGCATTAGATTTACAACACAATGAGCTACTTGATATACCGGAAACAATTGGTAACCTAAAAAATTTAGTGCGTTTAGGATTAAGGTAAGAAAATATTCAGTTCAAATAAAAAATTTATTAAATATGATAGTGTTAAGAAAATGAAGTTAATAAAATAATTCACTAAAAAATGATCAGGTGATGAAGTTTTTACAGAACGTACAAGAGTTATTGAGTATTGATAAGAAGAAGATTAGGTAATTCTAATGCTTTATAAAAGCAACACAGTATTCCGACACCAATAACACTATGCGACAAAATGTAGTCTTTAATTCTCTTAATTATTTACGAATAATTATATATATGAAAATTAATTCCAAGCCCAATTATGACGGGTATTTGATAATATTAGAAGCAGCTGCATTGTCAACCAAAAATTCAATTAAATAAAAATAAACAAAAATATAAGTTGTTGTAATTTAGTACTGTTTAAAACCTCTCCAACAAAATCATTTTAAAATAGTTATGATAACAAATTAAAACAATTTTATAAGTATTACTTGTATATTTAAATGGTTCTTTGCAACTGAATAAATAACTTTTATTTCCACTTTTGATATTAGAAGAAATATCATCATATTAAGCTAATTGATAAATCAATAGAACCCTACTTCTACGTTACATCGAAATGTATTGCTCTACGAGAAGTTGTCTCCTCTTATTGCCATCGAGACAACATCAGTATGGTCTAATATCGAAGTGTATTCTTTCAGACCACGTTTGCATTGTAAATGTAAAAATGCCTCTTCCCAACTGAAATTATATTGCAGCTTCGTACTATACAGTAACTTTCTTCGTATAAACATTTATATTATCAATGTGTTCCCAAACTGTATTTACACTTCTTATGACCTAATATCTGTTTAAATACTCCAACTCGCATACTAATTTAAACATTATTGACTTATAACTTCGTCCAAAAAGTGCCAAATTTATTTAACTAAACCCAAGGTAGTTTTAATTGGGATTTTATCGACACCTACATCCATTAATTTCATACTAACTCCCTTCTATAACTCCTCTTATAGCCAATACAAATCCATATTTTTTTGTCCTGTAGTCCACAACATTAGATCACATTATTTGTGTGTCCAAACTTACAGTTATCTACTAACTGCCATGGCTACATATGCATTTACATGGTTATAGACCCATGTCCACGGTGTGTAGCCTAATGATAATACTCGGACACGCTATCCTTTAACTCTTCCTTCTCTCCTGGTTAGGATAACAACAACAACTAGAGCTTCTCTTAAAATCAGTGTGATCAAGAAACAAATTTATAATTAGTTTTATATGAGACTAGTTCTTCGATACTCATTCTTTTTTTTTTGTCTTATTTAGGAACATATTAAATAATTTTATTTAACTTGTTTTATAACAGTAAATGATTTTTAATAATAAAATCTTTTAAATTGTTTTAATCTAAAATTTTTCTATTTACAGATACAATCGTTTAACATCTATACCCACATCATTGAAAAATTGTAAATGCATGGATGAATTTAATGTGGAAGGCAATGGCATTACTCAACTACCAGATGGATTACTTGCGAGTTTAAGCGCACTTACAACTATAACACTTTCACGAAATTCTTTCCAAAGCTATCCTACAGGTGGACCAGCACAGTTTACCAATGTGTATAGCATTAATCTTGAACATAATCGTATTGATAAAATTCCCTATGGTATTTTCTCACGAGCTAAAGGTTTGACAAAGTTGAACATGAAAGAGAATGCACTGACTGCTCTACCACTCGATGTGGGTACATGGGTTAATATGGTTGAACTGAATTTGGCCACAAATGCTTTGCAAAAACTACCAGACGACATAATGAACTTACAAAATCTCGAAATACTCATACTATCAAATAACTTGCTCAAAAAAATACCAAATACTATTGGAAATTTGCGCAAATTACGTATCCTAGATCTGGAAGAGAATCGTATTGAGGTGTTACCAAATGAAATTGGTCTTCTACATGAACTGCAAAAATTAATTTTACAAACAAATCAAATTACGGTATTACCACGCACCATTGGACATCTCAGTAATTTGACGCATTTGTCAGTGAGCGAAAATAATCTACAATATTTACCTGAAGAGATTGGCTCATTAGAGAATTTAGAAAATCTCTACATTAATCAAAATCCCTGTTTGGAGAAATTACCATATGAATTAGCGTTGTGTCAGAATTTGAAATATTTGAATATTGACAAATGTCCTTTGGGCACAATACCACCAGAAATTCAAGCTGGCGGACCATCGCTAGTGTTGCAATGGCTAAAAATGCATTCACCTTACAGGCAGATGTGAGTGGACGATGGTCAATGGCGTACTTTCTATGTAAGCAACGATTGTTATATACAATTTGAACTGGAAGAACAGAGACGCTAACAACGCCGGGAATGGAAATGCATAATTACCTAACCTATAAGGCATGCATTTCCGTTGGTTTTACTTTTACACTAATTGACTTTTCAACACAACTTAAACGAATTAACGACGAACTTTCAAACAATATAAGTAACAAATGAATGCACTTCTTTTTTAAACAAAACGAATTATAAATTCTCGATTTAAATTTAATTTAAATTCAAAAACAAAAAAAAACCTAAGGAAAAAAAGGTGACGTGATGGTGGAAAAAATATAGCTTTAAAAATTAAACATATGCTTCTTTATAATGTTTACTTCTAAGCTAGAAACTAAAACTTTAAAGAACAATTTATGTATGTATATTGTATTTGTACAATATGTGTATAAATTGTGTTAACTTGAATTTTGTAAAGAAAAAATCTATACACGTTATACTTTAAACTTACAAGGAAATTTAATAATTTAACTGCCCAATTCTGTTATTTTGCGATTTGATGAACTGCAGTGACTGCAAAATGAATTTTCTTTAATATATTTTTACATGAGGACATGGTTTCTGTATATCAAAAGGTAAACCCAATTATTTCTTTTCTTAACTGAATTAAAGTCATATTTATTTAATTACAGAAATGCGAACAACTAGAATATTTTATTAATTTCTTCTGAATGCAAATAACGAGTAAAAAAGGTGTATAACGCTTGTGGTTCACATTTAATAAAAGTGCTGACACTATAAGGATAATTTAAAAAATTATTATTTGTAGAATATTTCGAAATTAGAACTTATGAAATGGTAAATACTTTCAAATACATTTGTTAGTTTTAGTTAATTTATTTATTCATTTTTGTTATTTATTAATTTTTTTCGCTATTTAATTTATTATTAAATTGCTTATTTTTTTATATTTATATATTAAATTTTTTGTTTTTTTATATAAATTTATGTATCATTTTTTTATTTATTTATTTTTGGTTGTTTAAATTTTTTTTGATTTTGTTTTGTTTGTTTTTAAATTTTTTTTATATATATATTTTTTGTAATTTATTTTTTTTATTATATATATATTTTTTGTAATTTTTTTTTTTTATATATATATATATTTATATTTGTATTTTATATATATATTTCTTTTTATTATTAGTGTATATATTTTTTTTATTATATATACCTTTTTTTATTATTTTTTTATTATTATTATATTTTTATTTTTATTATTTTTTTTATTTTTATTATTTTTTTTATTTTGTTTTCCTTTTTTTTCGTTATTTTTTTTTGTTTTATTTATTTTCTTTACTAAATTTTTTTGGTTTATTATATATTTATTTCTGCGATTTTTATATATATACATATTTTTTTTTGTTATTTATTTCATATCATATAAATATTTAATTTTATATTAATAATGTTAATTTAATTTCAATCACTTTGACATCTATTCCTATGGTCTTAATAACACAGCGTTTTAATTATTATAATTAAAATTTACACATTACTCAATACAAAAGAGATTGAGTCAACATTATTTCAATGTATTGCTTTGAATATGTATTAATTTATTTTAAGCAGATACTTTTTAACTCTATATTAATTAATTTACATTATTCTATCAATTAATAAATCAATTTTTTTCATTGCTATATCTATTAAAATAATATTATTTAAGAATCTGAGATAAAAAAACATTGATCTGAGATAAAAAACATACATAGGGTTAAATGCATAATAGTTACAATTCTTATTATTATTAGATTGTTACCTTTATTATTATGCTATTATATATTATAGGCTTATTGCAGAAACGTATTTAAGTTACTCGATACCAACTTTTGGGAAATAAAAAAAATTGTTTCCTACTAATGCAAATGTTATTAAAAATTGATAGACTCTTTCTTCACAAAAGAAAGTTTACTTAAAACTACGTATTACTATTTTTTAAATTTTAAATCCAAATCTTTGAAAATCGACTTAAATGCCTTTCTGTAATAAGCCATTTATATTTAAATTAAATTTTCTACCAATATGTATAACGCTGTGCCAATTCATTTAGTAACATGCATATTTACAGTATTCTATCTATCGTTCAATACTCTGGTATATATATTCAATACTGTATTGATTGTCAATTTTGAAACGATACAGTCATTCTAATAATACTCTAATTGTCTGTAATTAATTCATTCAAAATCATTAAAAAAATTAAAAGTAATTATAATTTACACTCTGGTAATTTCACTATAAACTCAATTAAGCTTCCAATTCAGCAAGTGACATTAATTTCAAAAGAAAGTGGTTTTTTTGGTTTTTATTTTGAAAAGAAAATTAATTCTTTAAGCAAAGATATCAAAATAAAAGTGCATATGTAAGGTTTGAAAACAAACGGATCTTTATATAGTTTTTGTTCATTTTCATTAAGCTTAATTTTATTCAAATATGCTGACAAATACATACTTGATAGTTTTTAAATTTTAATGTTGTATGCACAAGTTATGTCTCGCATTTAGCAGAGTACTTCAAAAATATTTTTTTAATCTATAATTTTATTATTAAATTATCATTTAATTGATAACAAATAGTTTAACATTAAAATTAATTAAAAATTAAAGTAAAAAATGCGCCAAGGAATTGTTTACAAAATATATTATTAAATTAGTCGTAACTTTAATATAAAAAATATTAAAACTCAAGTATCCATATAATGAAAAATAAATTAAAATTAATATAAATTATTATATTTTTATTGTGAAAAATGTTATAAACATTAAATTAAATATAAATGTATAGAAAATAATGAAAAAATTACAAAAAAAAAAATTATATGATTACTAAATGTAAATGCAATTGATGTATGTATTATTGTATGTTAACTATAAAAATAAATAAATAAATATTATATATAAATTAAGCAGTTAATACAAGTATATTAATGAAATTAATTGGTGTTAAAAAAATATATCGTGTCAGTCAAAAAGATTAATCACTTTTTTATGTTTTTATATAATATATGACTTTTGTAGAATAACTAACTAATTTGTTTATTGCTATACGACTATACATTGCTATAGTTTACGACTTTACATTGCTGAGTTTAATTTACTTACTCGTAATTTTATAGATTTTTTTAATTTTATAATAAATAATATCATTATTATAATTATTTGTTTTGAATTATTCCATTATATTTGCGTATATATTTTCATATATATTATTCTCATTCAATGAAAAAATAATTTTTGTATTTCTAACAATATTCATTAAGACAATAGTTAATATATTCATCAAATCCAACAATTAATATATTTATCAATTTTAATAATTAATTTTTTAATTAATTTATAAATAACTTGAAAAATTTTAAAGTTTAATTATTTATTGAAGAGGGAGCCTATGTCAACAGTGTATATACATTTATATTTAAATAAACATTTTTAATTCAGTGACTACTTTATTTTTAAAATATTTATATTGTTTTTTTCTTATACGAATATTTTTTTACACATATTTAGGTAAAAACATAATTTTAAAGTTTTTAATCGACTGCTCACGATATACACATTAACTTATAGTAATATAAATGTTGTAATTATGTATACGTAATAATTATAAAGAATAAAAAATTAATGCTATTTATTTATAACAAATGCAATCTTTGATATAACAAAATGTTTATATTTTAAGTTGGCTTATATATCATTTGTTATTTTTATACACAAAAATTTTTCTAAGCTTAAAAATTTAACTACTTCAATATATCAACGAAATTTTACTGTAAATTTAACTATTTTATACTAAAAAATAAATTAATGAAAATTAATTTATTTACATTAACTATTTATTTATGTTAAATAATAGAATTACTTTTAAAAATTATATATATTTAAAATATATATATATATATATATATATATGTATTTGTAATATAACTAAGATAACACATATGTTAAGAAGAAATTTAACAAAAAAAAAAAATAGTTTCAAATGCTAGAACTTCAATGCAAATTATTATTATTTTATATGAACAAAAGTACATAAACAAAGCGGTACAAATAAAAAAGAAATTAAAAAAATTATATATAAATGTTTAAATAGATACAAAAAAACTGAATGTGTAACCTCTTCCCACTTTGAAAAATATATATGAGATTATATAAAAACAATAAAAATATTAATTTTATTTAAAAACATGAACTACTGAAATGAATATATTGAAATGAGTTATATATAATAATATGTAAGCATATAACAAGAATAAAAAAACATTTAAATCATTATATGAAATATTAAAAGTTTTAATATTAATACAAATAAAAAAAATAAACAAATTATTAATTTAAAACAGTAACAAAAAGCAACTGAAAACAACAATAAATAATGCCATAAAACTAGTTGAGAATGAAACGCACATTTTAAAAATATATAATTTTATTGAATGTAAAACAAATAGAAGAGAATAAAGTATTTAAATATATATAAATTCAACTAACAATTTAAATAGTACATAAACCTAAACTACAGTATAGAACAAAATACATAAATGTAAGTACAAACAAAAAAAATAATAATGTATAATTTTATTTTTAAATATTTTATTTTTCTTTTCTTTTTGTATTAAAATTCAAGATAAAAATATATACATTAGGCAGATAACACGAATTCGTTATGTATTGTTCTAATTACCCTAATTACTTTACTTCAATTAGAAATGTATGATATATTCATATATCTTATCTTCAGTAGACTGTGGGATTAAGTAGATAAAATCTTTTAAATGCAAATAAATAAATTATAACAATGGTTATTAGTCAGAAGGCTCAATATCTGGAGAATATTTATGGTAATTAAGAGCACTCCAATACAGTGTGTTACATTTTTATATAATAATGCTAACGTTGAGCAGATTTTTAAACTATATCTCGTCTGGTTTTCGTTAAATCAAAGAAAAACTTTGAATTTATTGACAACAGTTTAACAGTGATGGGTTTTAACCAAAACTGGTTAAAAAATGTGATAATACCTAAATAATGAATATTCCGTTATATATTTTCATTTGTTTTCATTATTATATATATACATATATATTATTTTTGGAGAACAAGGAATACATGTTGTTATTGTTCAGTGTTAAAATATAGAAGCGAAACATTGTCGTTATATATCGAAAAAAGACTTATTGTACAATGGACTATCGCGGTTTGAGTCCAACATTTCTTTCTAAATATGAATTGCAAATGGTGATTTTAATGGGTTAGAGTGTCACACAGTGGCTGTCGATGCAAAATGGATAAACTACTGGCCCGTTACGGTCAAAAGTTGAACCCCATTTCCACTTATCAAGGGAAAGGCAAACATTACAATACAGAAGGCTTAGTATTTAGACAACATAAAGGAGAAGGAAATGAGAATGTTCACGCTAAGTATTAATTAGTGATTAAGAATAAATATTATTTATAATTGCTGTAATCACGATTGCAGAGTGGGATTACAGAAGACACACGGACGATATCGATCAAATAAAGGGTCAGGAATTGTGAATGTTTGTACCTTAGATTGTAATATTACTTGTAAGTGGATTTTATGTCAAAACCCACTCATAAATCTGCAGATTTAGTTATTAATAGCATATAAACAGAGAGTGTTAACACAAAACATTCGAGTGTGGCAATCATGGGTGTAAGTGTATACATATGTGAAGAATACTTTTTTTGTATTTTTATTTAATCTGAACACGATTACAATAAAGTTGAACTTTATCAAATATTTAATCTAACATTGCTCATAATTTCAATTCAACAGAATAATTTTCGCAAGAAATTTTTAACTTGGCAACTCTGCGCAGATTCTGCAACTGCTTCTGCGAAAGCAAAATATTAATCAGCTGAGTTTGTTTACAATAGACTAAGCATTCTCAGTACTGATAAACCATAAATATAAACAACTTTAAATTAACACACACATAAACACACACACATTATTACACAATTTTTGTTTTTGTATTACAATGCAAAAAAGAAACATTTCCTTTGTTTAAGAGGTGAACGACAATGTTTTACGCAGAAGAAATTTAATATTGCCCGAGTGTTCGTCGCGGTTGTGTTAAAATTAGCTGGAATTAATTAAATTCCGATTTTTTGTTTTAAAATCATAAAATTATCAAATTTAACAATTTCTTTTGTTTTTGTAATTTCCTTTCACAATCTTCTTAAACAAAAGCCGTTGAATAACTGAAGTTAAGTTTAGTCGTCCGAAAATTGCGTAGAAAAGTGGTTGTTGAAGGTTTTTAAAGCCTGAAAATTTTTTACTGTGTATTTAAGAAGAAAAAAAATAAGTACGTTAAATATTAGTGCAAAAAAATTTTAAATTACAATTATTGTTATTTTTACGTTTAAACTATATTTATGAAGAAATTTATAATTCGCATATCAATTCATTTTATTAACCTTTGAGCGCAGTGAGATATCAGCGCAAGAGCAAAACGTAAGAGAGCAAATGTGTTGTGAGCATACAGGGTGCTTATGTGTAATTGTTAAAAATAACAATTTTAAATTTCATTTATTTTATTTCTAAATTAGGTATTTTATCGTTAATTAAAATGAAAATAAAATAATAAAATTCAAAAAATTTTTTAAAAAGATAAATTAAATAAAACATATCAAATATAATATAATATAATTTTTAAAATTATAAAATTTATAAATATAATTTTTCATTTATATTATTTTTAATGAATTATTCTATCTTTAAAGTAAAATAAAAAATATAATTTATTAAAATTCTTAATAATATATAATTGCTCACAATACTCTAGAACTTTAAAATAAAACATATAATTTTATTACTTTACGAGCACGTCTGAATATTTCTACTATTAATTATTGTTATCATCAGGAGATCAGGAGATCTATATTGCACGATACATGAAAGCAATTAAATAACAATAATACATGTGTTAAAATATGAAGTTGGTAGGGGATGAGAAATCATTAGGTCTGTTCTCGTAATAATTAGGAGTTACTCGTAATAAAACTCGAGTAAAACTCAACTAAAGTACAAACTAATAGCGTAACACAAATAAAGTGCCAAATTTCGTTGACAATACTTCATCGACATTTGGTTTTAACTATTTTTACTTGAGTAGATATCATCACTCTTTTGAAAAATCATGGCAATGTCCTACCCATTTATTAAAATTATTATCTCAATCGATAAGTATGTATCTATATAAATATATTAGAATAAAATAATATATTAAATATATTACGTCTGTTATGTATTATTATTTTAAATACTAAATAAATGCTTATCTGATATATTCGTATACATATATTTGAAAAATGTTTTATATTCACAGATATTCCAATATGTCTAACAAAACAACTTTTACAACGCTTTTGCTCCTCACAGCAATTGCAATTGATTTAACCTATTGCTACTCAGCACTGGAGGACTCGCGTTTAATATCAGAATATAGAAAGCAGTTGCGTGATACATCTAAATATGCAAAAGTGGCCCGTACTTTAGTACATGATGCGGACTGGGCCTCTGTGGGCACTATATCGACAGACAACAACACACTTGATTATCCAACAGTAAATGTAATCTCTACAGATGATAATGATATCAATGGAAAATCGACTGGTAGAATACATTTTCTACTAACTGATTTGGATTTTACTGGCAAGGATTGGAAACACGATAATAAAGTATCTTTCTTATATACTGAAAATCAAACGGGTAAATGTAAGGCACGTGGTATCGATCCTATGGAACCAACATGCGCTCGCACTTTAATAACTGGTAAAGTTGTAGAGGTAATAATTTAAACTGTTGTATTTGAGTACAGTTGCATATACAAGAGGTCTGTTTTGGGATTCAAACCACCATTAATAGTAATAATATTAATATTAATATTAGATATGATAAGTATTTTTCAATTAAATGTTTTCATATCAACTTTGAATTAGTTTTCAAAAATCGTCTCATAAATAAGTCTCTGTATATGCAAGTGTATGAGTCGATATATACATTTTAAAATATCTATTTCTAAAATATATATTCCATAAAAATATATTCTAGATGGACAAAAATTCAAATGAATATGTGAACGCCTTGACTGCTTTTAAGCAAAGACATCCTTCTGCCACAAAATGGATGAAAAGTAAATCTAATAAATATTATTTAAATTTTATAAATTATACTAATACCACTTTATTTTTCTATAGCTCATACTTTTTATATATGTGAATTGAATATACAAAATATCTATGTACTTAATTTCTATGGCGGTCCACATAATGTACCTGTTGAAGCTTATTATAGTGCTGTTCTCAATTATTAAAATTATTTTCATATATTGTAAGCTTAAATTACAAGGATTAGTTGCTGTAGATCTTCTAGGTATTTTAGTCGTTTTCTTCGAGGACTTTATAGTTTTCTTATTATACATATATACAAATAATATCTTATTAGCTGAGGGGTGTACCAGGCTGGAGGAGCTTGAGGTTTAAACCAACACTCAAAATATTGCGAACCACTTCATATTAGATATAATAGATTTTTTTTTAGTTGAAAGATTTATGAACTTTCAAATAGTTTTCAAAACCCTTTTTAAATGAGTCTCTGCATATCTCACTGCGAATTAATATTATTATGCTCTGTATATGGTTTAATAGATATATAGAATGTCTGCTTCGACAATCAATTTGTCATAAAACCAATAAGGTTGTCTATACTTAAATCTATCTATCTCTCTATCAATAAATATTGATATGATATTTTTGTTTTGTTTTAATAGTACTGTATCCATCTTATAACTGATCTATAAGTAAATGAAATACGCCTTGTAAATATAGACAGTCAGTTTTAGTAGTGATAGCGGAAGAAGAAACATATATGAACAATTTTTTTAAATGAAAAATTTTATATATACAATAACTTACGATATTAATTGTGATAGTTTATATAATAACCATTTTAACTTATAATTTTAAGATGACACTTTTATCTTGACAATGCGTTGACAACTATAGCTATCAACTTCATTTAATGCAGCTAATTATATTTGAAATCTACTTAACTAGATCCATCAAAATAATACTATATCTTTGATATTTTAATTAAAATATTTTAAAATATGATTGAAATATTGACATTGCTCTAATTAATACCATTTACACCACTTCCTCATTAATGTTCTTCAGTAAATAAATAATATTTCTATATCTTATGTGAACGGATATATTTCGATGAAATACTTTACTATACAAGTATATGAATTTGAAAGTATTCTAGCATTAGTATACTCGAATTCGAACATTTGAATCGAACATCTAACGTGTTCGAAATTGCTTAGTAGAATTTTAGAAACTGAGGTTCGAACATATATCTCGAGTAAAATTATACTCGAACATTAAAATTCTCCTAACTTCGAACACCTCAAAGAATATTAAAAACACTAATATACATAGTATAAACCTTCTTACATTTGTCTGACTATAACTTCTTTGTAATTTAGGCTACATTAATAGGTGTATAATTTTTATAAAATGTGTATAAATGAACTAGAGATTTTAGAATCTCACAGATTGTATGAAACCGATATATAAAAATGACCGATTGAAAAATATACTTAAAATAAGATACTTTGTGACTAAATGAAACATTTATAATTAATGTATACAATTATTTTTATATAAATTTGTGATATAAACTATGCTATATAAATTAAATATATTAGACAAAATATTAAAAATAAATATTTTATAATAAAAAATATTGTCTATATTTTGAATGTAAATTATATCTTAATAATTTACAACAAAAACGATGTTGGTGCGTGGTTATTTTAATTTAGTTTAGCACTGAGTGCCTACATGATTGAAGTGAAGGTGCTGTCCACGTAAATTGTTTCAAAAGCGTCCGTATCTACATAGTGGAATCACAGATGTTGTTTTTGTTAACCGAATACCGACCTGAAAGCAAGCACATAAAAGGACGTCAAAACACTGGAAAATGGATTAGGATGGAGAAAGTAGTATAAGGTGAAGTAGGAGTAAAGATGAGAACACGGATTTATTCAGATCATACAGATTTTCAAGACTAATAATTTACTTTTTTCCATTTTCGTAAAAATTCACGAAATTATCTGCTTTGAACGGCTATCAAACATCAACTGAACGACGTTGCTTGCTCAAAATTAAAAAGTTGCCTACTTGTAGATTACAGCTGACGGCAGCACTGTTGCATTTGGAGTAACTGCGCGGGAAATTCAAAAAATCACTGACTTATCAAACCACCCTCGTATAAAATATAATTAATAAAGAGCATTTGTACATATAAACAAAAATAATTAGTAGTGCATGGTTGAAGTCTAAAATTTTTCCTAAAATCTTTATCGGAAAAATTTCCATAAAATGCCTAATATTTCCATATTGATGCAGCTCATCCCCTGAGCTTAATCACTTAAACTTGTCTTTAGTTGAAGTGGGAGTGCAAGAGTTAGATTCGCCGCCGCTCCATGATTCAATTAAAATATGCAATTTATATATATATATAATATATATATATAAGTCAAGTTTTTAAGTAAAAAATAAACAAAAAGTTATACTTAATAATTCAGACATTTCAGAAGATTTTATATTTTTTAGTTTTTTATTTCTCATAATTAAAATTTTTTCAGTTATTCTTTTAGCGTAAAAATTGTTTACACAATCCATAACAAAATTGTGTAACAAAAACAGCTGACATTATTGTTGCGTTGCCAATTGCTTTCACATGTAATCCGAATCGTTTCAGCAAACAAGATCCAGATTATTGTTTGCTATTAGTTATTAGCTGCAATATACATACAAAGATAATACTAATACTGTAATACTAAGAGAATCGTTTTACAATACCCTTTAAGTGTCTCTCTCTTGATGTACTAGTTATTCTTTATGTTCAAAAAATATTTGGGAGCACTAAAACACATTTTTTAATTATGTATGTAAAATACTATGATTTTTTTTTTATTCATTTCAATAATTAAATGTTATTTCGATCTTTATATCACTAAGGTCGTATGCGAGTTCGACTAAATTTATGGTAAATTGAGGGAAATAGTAAATGATGTCTGTATATCAGCGAATGTTGGTATTTACCAGAATTTCGAGTAGGGTAAATTAGATAAAAATTAGGTAAAATAGGTGTTACCATTGCGAAAATTTTATAAAATGCTTAAAAAATATATAAATAAATTTGAAAACATTTAACCAAAAATAATAAATAAGTGCAATAAAAAAATATTTACATAAATGCAGTTCAAAACCTCAATTTACTCGAACTCGCACACGGCCTAAATAACATTTACTAAATTTTGTTATTTTTTGGAGATATTTTAAACGTAAAAATGACGACTAAAAATAGCTCAAAATATTTGTATAAAAAATATTTTTTTAAATATATTAAAATTTTAACAAAAATTAGAAATTGTTATTTAAAAATAATTTAAGTGGTGTAAAAAATTTATGTTTTTTATTTATTATATATTTTATTACTGTTATAAGTATTATTTTTCAAGAATTATAATAATAAAAACATAAATTTGAAAAAAAAAACGTTCCAAAAAGACCATTATTTTCACTTTTATTTATTTACAAAACTTAACAGCACCCTGTGAGCAGCTGTTGCTGGTGTTTAACATTTCGCAGACAGTGTAAAGAGTGTTTGTGGAAACATATTGAATATAATCAAAAAGTGAATTAACTAAAAAGTAATTAATTAAATAAATTAAAAATCTATAAAAATCAAGTGATTAAATATAAATTATAAGAATATGTCTTCTGGCTTGAAGTGTCGTAACTGTGGTTCGACGGACATCGAAGAGGACAATGCGCGTGGTGATGCCGTTTGTACGAACTGCGGATCTGTCCTGGAAGACTCTTTAATTGTATCGGAAGTACAATTTGAAGAGGTAGGACGCGGCGCTTCAGCCATAGGTCAGTTTGTCTCTGCTGAATCTACTGGCGGTGCCACCAACTATGGCTACGGTAAATTTCAAGTCGGTTCGGGTAATGAATCTCGTGAAGTGACCATAAAAAAGGCTAAGAAGGAAATCACACATTTGTGCCAGCAGTTACAACTAACCCAGCACTACATTGATACCGCTTTGAATTTCTTTAAAATGGCACTGATGAGGCATTTGACACGAGGACGCAAAAGTACACACATATATGCTGCATGCGTTTACATCACATGCCGCACTGAAGGAACATCTCGTATGTATCAACTCATTGAACTCCGTTTCATTGTCAATACTCTAGTATTAATACTGTTTATTGTTTTGTTTTTTAGACTTGTTGATTGATATAAGTGATGTGCAACAGATTTGCTCCTATGAATTGGGACGCACTTATCTCAAACTTACACATGCTCTGTGCATCAATATACCAGCTGTGGGTAAGTGCTTAGTTTATATTAGTATTTAATATGGATAATAGGCGTGCAGTAGTGTTGCTATTCAACAAATCAATTATAAATCGAATATTGAAGGGTTCAGATTCAATTGGTACAACTATTTATGTATATAAGTCATTCAAGGTTGAAGACAAGTTTCGTAAAAATTAATTATGACAACTTTTTAATGTTCCTTCACTGTCAGTTTTTGTATAACAAATTCCACTTGAGTAAAAATACTGATCCGTTGCACTCTCTTACTATGTTGTTGTGGAAAGTCAACTTCTCGATTGTTACTAGAGGTATATAATATCAATGACAAGAGCTGAAGGTGGATAACCCGATCGCTACTAGAACTTGGTTATCATGTTTCCCGAAACTCCTTGACCACTAAAATTTCTTTTAAATTTTGGAACGATCTCTTTTTTTTTTCTCAAACATCAAGAGAGTAACTCTATTCCGGATCTCATTTATACTTCATAATTAGCCTAAGTTTGTTTACTCTAATGCGTAGTTAAGTAGGCTTACTTAGTTAGATATAGTCTACTTTAAGAGATGTAGATAAAAATTAAAGTGAAAAGAAAATTAACAATTTCAGCAAATGTTTGGAAAAAGTTTTTTCTGATATATGTATATAGATGAAGAGGCCAAACTGGACTGTAGTGCCAAATAAGAAGAAGATATAGGTGAAAACTTCTGTATGTATCACATGAGATGTACAAATTTCGATTTTTTGCTATAAAGTTATATGCTGTTATATATATTTTTTATGCGTCTGAATGTTGCCCTATCATCTTTCTTTGTTAATAGAATCTCTCAGATTTTCTAATATTAAAAGCATGGAGATTTGATACTCACCTCAACAAAAAGTTGAATCGATTTAACGTTGATGTATTCTTTATCGTGTCAGTTTTTAACTTGCTATTTAAGTGAAAGACCTATGTATATCATAGGTCTTCCACTAACATTTTTATTGCTTTGCTTTGGAATGTTTAAATTAATGTTGTTGTTGTAACCCGCCGGGACCTGAAAGCTGATAACATGTAAGGATTATAAGACGAATACATGGGTAAAGGAGTGGATAGGTGGGGTGTTTAAATTAATAAAAGTTTTGACTGCTATTCCATACAGCATGAGTACGTATGAAGGGGATGGTTTGTAATAGGTTTATAGACAATTATTCGGTTTATTTTGATATATATATAATCTACTATGTTGAAGAGGGCGAAGAGTATTTAGAGTCTATGTGCAGGAAGTGTTTTTACCTTTTAATATGTATATTTTATTTATTTAGATTGCCATCCTTCTTTTTGTAGTAACCCAGGAAATCTATCGACTAGATAATATGAAAGTAATTATAATTCTGTATACAGGGGTTGGAATGTGTAGGTGATATTAATGTGAGAGGGATGTTTAGGAGTAATTAATATAAGGATTTTGATGAGATGTTGAGTAAGAATGGATTGAAGTGGGTGGGATTATAATTGAAGTCAACCTGGGTGAATGCAGAAAACCTGACTAATTTAATTGGAACGAATTTGAAGTCTCAAAAGGGAGTATATCAGCAGGAATATGTTTTTTCATCCTTATTCTAAAAAGATAGTTGATATAATATGATTAATATTAAATTGGTAGCACTTTTATGTGATAGAAATCATCTTTGACTTAAGTAAATTTCACTATCCATTTATGATAGTTATTTGTTATCACATCTACACGGTTCTTTAAAGAAATTTTAATATTGTTAAGATTTTTTTCTGAGCATAGGATGTGTTATTTGTTTGAAAGTATTCTTGGTTCCATTAGTGCTATGTCAACAGTGTAGATACTGTATAGAGTTGAAGTTAGTTGCATAGCTTTCAGAATTTCGGCTTCAATTCTCTTTTATATATTAATTTATTAAAAAATACTTACTCTTCACAGTTTGAAAATGAAACAAATACATATTTAACCCATTGTTTTTTTTTTTTTGTTTTGAAAAAGTATTTATTATATATCATATAGAATAAATCGATAGATGTAGCAATTAATAATATATTATAGATATTAAAAAAACTTTATAGAAACTAACTCAGTACACGTTGAAAGGAATATATAATGTAAATATTTTCTAATATCGTATTGAAGGCAATGTTTAATTGGATTAAATATATATAAAGGTTATGACTATAAAATTTAAGGCGGAACGAATTAAGCAATACATCTTAAAAAAGAAAATAAATGTATAAATTGTATTTTTATGTAAAAAATACAAGAACATTTTTAAAATTAAAAAATGCCAACCTTGGTACTTTTGACTTTTGTTTGGATTAACAAATTATTTAATAAAAAGTTTTTGAACTACTTATAAGCTTAATATTTATGCTAAATAATTCTACATATGTGATTAAAACTGGTTTGATTACATTTGGTTACATTATATAAATTAAAAATAGGAAAAATCACTAATTATGCATGCAGACTTGGAAACTTTTTCGTGTTTTGTTTATAATAAATTTTGAATATTTTTTTCTTTTGGTTTTTCTAATTCTTTTTAATAAGTAAATGTATATATATATATATTTATATGTATATATATCGAAAAATTCTAAGAAAACTTTTTAACTTTGTCTTTAACTTGTATATATTTTATATGCAACTTTAAATATTTCTTCCAATTCATTATCAATAATTTTTTAATATGCTTTAAATATATAAATATATATGTAATTATTTTAATATTACTTGTTAAATATTTCCCAGTACAATTATTACATGTTTTACTCTGCTCTTTTAGAATTTTTTTTGTTTTGATTGCCTTTAAATATTATATTAACTTTATAAGTAAATATAAAATAAAATTACAATTTTTTTGAACATAATAAAATTTGAAAAACCAAATTATAATCTTTTAGTAAAAACAATATATTAAAATAATTAAAAGTTTTCAGCCAAAAGAAATCAAATAAAATTAAATTCATTTCCGTAAAATATAATATAATAAACCAGAATTATTTTTCTATATATATAAAAGGATTTTTAAAAAATTATAACAGATTTCTGTTGTTATACTCTACTCTAACAATTTTTCAATTTTTAATTTCAAAATATGTTTTTTTTTTAATATAAAAATTTAGTATTGTATTTTGTATTTATGTTGAAAACCCTTGAATTCCGTTGTTTTGCTTCTTAATTAAAAACTACTTGAAATTGAAAATTTCCGCCTTATTCTTATCACTTTGGCCCTTACTCAAGCTGCTGTCACACTATCACTACTGCCGCTGGTAATTAATTCATCGGTATTGCTTTGAGCACCTGTGGGCAGTACACTGGCTGCTGCTCCACTTCCGATTGGAGTTGCACACAATGAATTTGTAGGAGAATTTATGGCAGTTACTGTTGTTGGTCCATAGAATATAAGTTCTGGTATTTGACCTCCTTGTACACCAGTGCCATTTGTGCTTTCAGATGAGCATTGAAATTGGAACGTTACATTGCCCATACACACTTCTGACATACCCTCTTGTCCAAAGAAACTCAATTCATTGCCATCCAGTATAACTGAAGCTGTGTAGTAACATTCCGGCTCTACTTGTATGGGATTTTCAAAGAAAACATGGAAAGTATTACTAGATCCATCTGAATAGAATTTAGTGTCATTTTCGGCAAGTGTACGTCCTAAACGTTTCAGTTCTATTTTGACATTATAATTTGCAGCGCCAGTTGATGATCCATATAAACCAAAACCAACTATAAAGATTCTGTGCAAAATAGAAAATTTTAATATAATAAATTTCTTTTAATAATTAATTTAATTTAATAATTTTAAATGTAAAATATAATAAAATAATAATTTAGTAGTCATAAATATAATTTTATAATAATTTAAAGAGTAGATTTTTAACAATAAAAATTGATATATGGAATAATGGATATGTTTCGAAGAGTTAGTACCGTCATGTTAATGTTTAAACTAGATTTAATATATGAAATAATAATATATATATATATATATATTAAAAAATTAATTTTAAACAATTTAATTGTTTTTATGAGAGTATTATCGTCACAATATTTTGTGTGACTTTCATATACCAAAAAGTTTTGCACTCTTCGGAGTTAGATCCACGCTAGAAAAGAAATTAGGGATGTTGTCTATTATTGTAGTAGGAAATATGAATGGAATTACAATACAAATACATGGGTTAGGATATGTACGGAAAAGGGTTCAGTTATATTTTTCTAATGTAATGTGCTATTGTGTGGTGGCCCTCTCCAATAAAATAGACTATACCACAATATTTATCAAATTTCTTAGTACTACTATAAATATATAAAAACAATTAAATTAAATATCTATTATTTAACAATAAAAGTTTTATGTATCATCTTAACTTACCTCCGATCCACAGAAAACTGTATTGAATCACAGCGTCCACGATATCTCCATTGATTTGAACGGTAAGCGCAAGACTGAAATCGATGGCATACTTGTGTCTTTAGGCCAGCGCGTGGTCTTGTGGGGAAACTTAAAGTTGGTTTTGCTTTGGCTGTAAAATATAAAAACATATCCACATTCTCCTGCAAAGTTAAAATGCCAGTTTGTGCGACACCATTTGCAAATTCCTCCAGTGTCATTGTTGGTATGCGTATCAAATGCAAAGCCTGTCCCAATACATTACGTTTATTTTGGGATGTATTATCGACGGTCATCTTTTGGCAAGCATTTAGAGCCCAATTCAATGCTGCCTCAAATAAATGGATTTCCTTACAATTAAGTGTTTCACGTGACAAAATTGACTCAAACGTTTTGAGATCAATATCGACAAAGTCTTCAGATTTAATCGCCATTTCTGCCTGCAAGTTTATAAAGAAATTTCATTTTAGTTAGATTAAAATGAGTAGGAGGGGATAGAATATATACTTGTGCGTCTATAACTTCCCAGCAACGCTGCATCAGTTCTGGCTCTTCGAAAAGACGAGATTGACTGAGAAGTAGACAGGCGTTTTTTGCCGTCAATTTCACTTCCAAATAGTTAACACAAGCGCGTGCTAAATGTGGCACAATATATTTCTTGGCAGCATAAAGTGTAGCCAATATATTATCAGGTTCCAATTGAATTTCATCACAATATAAATATCTATTAGGATTAATATGAAGAGCTTTAGTTAATAATTCATTTTAAGAAGCCGAAATCATATTTTATACCTTAACAATGTAAAAAAAGCTGACGGTTCCACATCAGGCACTTCAATTTCGTTCTTCTTCTCTGCTAAACCACCATTGAACATTGCATAAAATACTGAACTGCCGGTAGCTAAAACGTATTTGTGCGCGGGTATTGTTTGTACGGGTCCTATCGGAAGAAGTAACAATATAATTATTTGCTTTTTATTTTAATAAATTAATTTTATTGTTTATATATTTACCAAATTCTCCACCAACAATAAATTTTACATCTGACAGTAATTCATTGTTGAACATAGCTGCATTTCGCTCCAACACTGTTGTTTTATTGGCTTGCCAGTTTGGGTCTGCAGTGTCGTTCGCATTCGTTGCAGTCACAAAAGCCAGATTGTTGGTACCAGCTGAGCAAACATAGGAGCCACTGCCACCACTATTGTTGTTGCCGGCTGCAGCTGCAGTTGTGGAACAGCTTGAGGGTAGACAAAACGAAGTAGAACTCGTTACTGCACCAGGTGAGGCCAATGGCGACGATGGCGCACTTATCGGTTGTGTTATTTGTATATTGTTTTCACCGGAAGCGCTGCCACTGCCGATGTTACGCTGTTGCTGCTGCTGTGGGTGTCCAGAATTGTTATGCGGCGGCGAGAGCAACAAACCGTTGCCATTGTTTAGGGTTTCCACTGTAAATGCAAATATTTGTTTAATAATAAAACGAGATAATTTAAGTTTTGTTTGTTTAGCTTATCAACTTTTTGCTCATCGTTCGATACTTTTTCGTTTACTTCGTAAATAGTAGCGGAACATTTTCTTTTTTCCCATTTTCGCCAAAAACAATGTTATGCGATAAATTTTATATTTAGTATTATTTATGCAAAGGTTAAGACTCAAACTAATCAAATCGTATTGAAAATGATTCACATTATAATTTTGAGTTGAATTTATATATCAACACATTATTTTTATTTGAGTTAATCGGAATATGCAACGTGAGAATTTGTTAAAGATAAACTTTTGTTCTAACGGGTGTTATTTTTTAATTTTGAATTTATTAGATTTATTAGTTTTGCATAGATATTCAAGTTCTGAATATCTCTTATAACAAGAGAGTAAAAAATATTGAAAACGTATTATAAGATTTGAAAATTCCATCCTATTATCGACTACGATTTCTTAGGAGCTGTAATTTTTGGGAGGATTTTTGTACAGATAATAGCCATCTGCTATTTTTTATAACACATCATATGTTGATGTTCTGGACATATCCGAATGTTAAGATATAACACTTTCATATTATATATACAAATAACAAATAGATGTGCCATCATAAACGACAGTTAATTAGAAGCAGATGATGTTTGAAATATTTCAGTTGTTGCAAACTTTTTGCATTGTGATGTTCGAATACACATGTATTCAAGCATATTATTCGAGTACAGCATGTCTTTTCAAAATTTTCGAACATAATTTGTGTTTTTTTTATGCTTATTTGTGAAAACATATTGAAGCTGTGAGATATGTAAAGGTAGAAACTCATAGACACATACTCCAGCACTTAGTACATTTAAATTCGAACATTTGAATCGAAAATACTTCTAACTCGAAGAGTTTTGGTCTGCTCAAATAGCAATTATTGACTTTAGAGTTCATAGCGTTCTTGCTTTTAACTTGTTCAAAGTAACGCATATCGTTTTTTAAATATATGAAATCCTTATGGGAAAATATTCTTTCGCCGTCAAGATCATGTCGGTGTGGTTATAGCCAGCAGAGATCTATCTGTGTAGTTCCTTTTAGGAGTGTTAAACGGCATTTGCTCGTCGAAAGAAAATTAACTCTCTCAACTGTCACGATCAACGACATAAAAAAGTAACCAACAATGTTAAGTACTTAAGTACCTCATACTGGTGTGACACTTTTAAGAAACCATGTCCAATAATCCAAAAGATTATCATGCATTTTATAAATATTGAGTATAATTTTAATATTTTGAAATTAAAGATGTCGTGACACCTAGGACTGAGATTAGCTAAGTAAGTAACTCTAATTGTTTTGAGTTGTTCTGTCAAAGTTCGAACCAAATGTTCGAATTTGAGTACTGTTCGACTGTTAGAGTATTGTAATGTTTTAATATTAGCAATTCTCAAGATTGAATTCAATTATCTATCATATAAATTTGCTATTTACATATCTTTTAAATTGTTATATCCATATCCTAGGTATTTGATCTAACTGTTCAAATATGAGTATAGTCAAACTGTTCGAAATTCGTTATGTTCGAACATTTTAAAGTACTTATATCGAACAGAAATGTTTAAAGTAGCCAAGTTTAAATAAACTATCGTCTAACTGCTATTCTAAGAAATAGTAATAGTGCCTTTATCGGTAACATTCTTTGAAAAAGAGATCATACCTGCATCAGCATTAATACTTTCAGCAATTGAAGCAAAATCTATCTAAAAAATAATATATAATTAATCATATATATAATTTTTTTAATGTTAAAAATAAGAATTATTTAGCTACATACGATCTATTTGTAATTACTTATGCTTTGTGCATATGCAGATCCACTTATGGAGCAAATAATCCTACTTACATCCCGTATAATATGTATCTGATAATATGGCTCAATTACAGTTACGTTCATGGTTTTTGGAGTTAACCACTCCTGAAGAATTAGAATTTTTGAATTGAATTCCTGCTTTATTTTTTTAATTTGATTTGGTTTTGTTAAATTTTTTAAAAAACAAAACAATGCCTATTTTGATCAATTAAATATAACGATTCTCAATCATATGTGGAAATGTGGGTCGCTGATTGCACCTGAAGATTGCGCCAATCCAACTAGAAAAATTTTTTAACGAACTCTTACTCTGTATTGTTTATTGCTGAACTGTTAAAGCATCTCAAACTAACTGAAAATTAATTAAAAATTGCAATTTAATCAAAATTTCATTTACACACTCACATGGAAACATAAAAACACAAATCGTTTGCGCTTTTTCATACGAAAAAGAAAAAAATTGATTTTCAAGGTAAACTTGTAATTAGTAAGCTACCCTCGTTCAGACTTTTGTTAAGTAAACTTAAAAAAAGTAAAGTTAAAAAAAGTTGAATTTAATGTCCATTAATTTTATTTTTATATAATAAATCACATGCTAATTTAACATAGCAACTAAAGTCTTATTTTCTTTTTTTTCTTTGTTGAAAAATCAATAAACTCCACTTGAGTTGCTGAGTTGTCATTCATGCATTCTCCTCCCGTTTGTTTTTGTGCCTTCAATTTGAAGTACCTTGGAATTCATGGCCAAAAGGTTCACAACAAACTCACCATTAATCCAGGCGTTCATCTGTGAATGGGACATCGCTTCCTGATTACGTTTGAGTGCTGGTTTTAGCGAAAGTTTGGACGTGGTCGTATAATTCGACATCACAAAAGGCAGAGTGATTTTTTAGAACCGCAGTAAAATTATTACATTAAATTTATTAAATTCTTTCGAAAAAAACTTAAGTTCTCTACCAAATCTGAATTACACTCATATTTTTATGTTTTTCTTTGGTATATTTTGTTTTGCCAACAGTATTTCTTGAATTTTCACATTTAATTGCTTTAGATCTGTCTGACGTCTTAGTTATGTTCTCTATTTGCTTTTGATTCACTATTCTATGCTTCATTCTGTTTATGTACTCATTCGTAAGAATTGCGCTGTTGCCATGTTTACTATAATTTTTAAAAATCTTTAAAAATTGTATAGAGTAAGTAGAGTCTATACGTGTAAATGTGATTAAACGATTTAAATTGTATGATTAAAAAGTGTTGATGGTAATTGTATACTATTTTGTTTTTGTTTTTATTAAACTAATAAAGTATACATTTTACTTTTAAAATATAAAAATACAACACAAAATATCTTCATAAAAAAAATTTTAACATCTGTTTGAATTAAATAATTTTAAATTATCGCATAAAACAATATTTGCCGTCATATTTTCTTTCAGAGTTCTAAGTTAAGTCTGATGAAACAGATTGGCATCACTTTTAAAATAGTGATGAATTTATTAGTAAATGAAATGCTCATATGATTTTAACGGAAGGCTGAAATTTTGCTATATCTCTCTAGTAGAAATTTACTATAAACTGTTTTGAATTATCGTTAATGAATCGTTAATTATTCGTTTTTGTGTCGTCATTGTTCGTAACAAATACTTTATTTTTTCTATTTATTATTTTACTGTTAAAAGGTACGAAAAATTATGTTTTATTCAGAATCATTTTTTCATCAATAATTGCAAAGAACTATTCATTCTCGAAATTTCAACATAAAATTTTATAACGTTTTTTGTCCAGTTTTGCCATCGAAGTAGTGTTTATTTTATTTGTTCTTTTGCGACATGCTTACAAAAGAAAAGGCCTAATATGTACGTTCTTATAGATAATGTAAAACTTTTAGATTGAATTCATATTTCTTTTCTATGAAATTATGAACAATTTTTTTCGAAATAATCTTCTTCTTTCTAAACAGGTAATCAAAAGGAATACCATTTTATAAAAAGAAAAATTTAAAGATTATATAAAAATTTTTGCTTCGAAAGCACCAAATCCATGCAATGTGTAAATGATTAAAAATAATTTGAAATAAAAATTAAAAATCGAACTAATATTTCATCTGAATCAACATTTGTCTAAATTTGTGCGAAAAATTATTGAAATGCTTCCGTCAGCAGTTTTCATAAGTCTTTGCCTTTTACAAAATAAAAATGTTTTAATTTACGCGGTTCACGTGTAAAAATTCATTAAAAATGCACGGCAACTTCTTCGGTACTTAATAGTTTTTTCCCATTTGTACATGATTTTATTACGAAAAAAAAGTTTTTACTTATGCGCTATGAATTTGTGATGAGAAGAATGTCTCACTTTACGTCAGATTTTTTATTGATAATTAAAAATTGTTAAATAAACTAAAACAGACATAAAAATAATTTATATTTGGTTATTGCAACAGTTTGACTGCACTGCTGTTAGTAATTATGTATTAGCTATGCAGATTGTTTCAAACTGTAACTTCCTTTAATATTTGAAAGATTATCAAACTGTAATTCCTTTTATTATTCGAAGGACTATCAAACGTTACGCCTTTTAATATTTGGAAGACTGTCAAACTATAATTCCTTTTATTATTCGAAGGACTATTAAACTGTAACTCCTTTTATTATTCGAAAGACTATCAAACTGAACCCCCTTTTTTTATTTGAAAGACTATCAAACTGTAAGTCCTTTTATTATTTTAATGACTATGAAACTTTAACTCCTTTAAATATTTGGAAGTTCATTAAACTGTAACTCCTTTTATTATTCGAAGGACTATCAAACTGTAACAACTTTTAATATTTGGAAGATTATTTTTTTATTATTCGAAGGACTATCAAACTGTAACAACTTTTAATATTTGGAAGATAATTAGCTTGCAACTTTTTTTATTATTCGAAGGACTATCAAACTGTAACAACTTTTAATATTTGGAAGATTGTCAAATTGTAATTCCTTTTATTATTTGAAAGACTATCAAACTGTAAGTCCTTTTATTATTTTAATGACTATGAAACTTTAACTCCTTTTAATATTTGAAAGTTTATTAAACTGTAACTCCTTTTATTATTCGAAGGACTGTCAAACTGTAACTCCTAGCACTATTTTAAACTGCGATTTGTATTTACATTTGAAACGCTTTGCACAAATTTGCTAAACTGCCTTTCAATTTTTTTGCCACACACTAAAGTCCAAAGTATTTAAAACTGCTAATCCTTTTCAGATTTGAAAGGCACTGATTTTTGATATCAAATACTATTAGTTTTAATCTCTTTTAACTTTGATAAATCAATTTATTTTCTTCGCTGTATCATTCTTTGAGTTGTAAAATTTATTGTTAAAAAATTTTTTAATTGTACAGACGTAAACCTTAATCATTTCATTAATTAAAAATATTTTTCTAAATCCAATATTCTTAATAAAGTGTAAAATTGAACTCATTTTATTAAGCTGTATTGCTTCATTTAAGTTTTTTTTTGCCCACCTGGGTATTAATATTATTTATGCATATCCACATGCAAGCTTTCAGTATATATTGTAGTCTCAATATTTTTCCTATAAAACCTAAAAGTTCTTTAGAATAAGTTTATAGTTATTTAAGTCAGATCTTAGATCAGTCATTGAATAATCACAAAGCTTATGAAGAATTAATCAGTGAGATGGATGGGACACTGTAGGAACCCCCTAGCTATCAAAGAATAAAAGTGCCCAGATGCACTAACTCGGGAAAGGCTCAACATCAACATCTATAAAAATTCTTATAATTATTTCAATTTATTTATTTTTATTTATTTATTTGTGTAGTTGATTCAATTTAGGTTTATAAGTTGTTTTTAACAAAAACTAAACCTATAGCGATGAAACGATGACACTTTGAATTATCACTACTACTTCAAACTGGCATTAAAAGTTCTAATGTAAATATTCCTATTAATTTTAATTACTCTCTCTTGTTAAATTTCATTTATATAAACAATTTAAATTAAACATAAAAAGAATTATAATTAATATTATAATATTTTTCAATTGCTTACTTTGTTGTAAATAAAAACTAATTCGACACCACAGAAAATTTGGGTTATTACAAGTAATAAGCAATTTATATATAAAAAGATTTAATAGACGTTTTGAGGATCCGTCTTTTTTCAAAATTTGTAGAGAATTGGTTCAATACAGCTATAACAACCACATTTCATTCATATCTTACATTAATATCAATCTGAAGTTGCTGGGTGTCTCCAGAGCATATGTTTGGTGTGGTAATATAAACTAACAATTTTATAGGGAGTGAACAAATATATATTAAATCTCAAGCTATTCACCTAGAACACTACAATCTTTGTTTTGGGTTAATAATATAGTGGATCTCAGTTAAGAAGGACAGTGACGCTACATTGTAAAATCCGTTTTAGGTATATTTTGAGTATGTCATTTTCTATTATTCTGTGGTCTCTCTCTAAAATAGTGTTAAACCCTATTTTTATCTATAGATAGACATGCACTGCTCTACTTTTCAGTTTCGCTTTTCATTAAATCTTCAATGATTTTTCTCTTCGGCACGTATTTGTGTTTTCTTATTTAAACAGTAAAATAATTAGTTTCAACCTTTAGCCGGTATCGACGCCTACAAAACGCTGACGTGCGTCACATCGCGGCTTTGTTGGTTTTGCCGTGATAAATCATGTCAAGTTTAAGTCAATTTGAGCTCAGTTTGCAGACGAAGAATAAACGGACTGAAGTTGAACTGAGGTCTCAAATTTAGTGCCTTTTTCTTTACGAGTTTAGCGCTTTCTGGCTTCGAATTTGCTTTCATTACCACAAAAAAAAAAATAAATGAAAATAAAACGCCAAAAAAGAAAAAAATAAAATTAATATTTAAACTTGAAAAACTTGGCTTTTGACTATTTTCTTTACGATCGTTTCTTTATATAATATATATATAATATATAATATATATATTTTTTTTTTTTCATTTTGAAGGTTTGTTTATTTTTCTTAAAATGATTTTTTCGAGGGTTTTGTTTATTTTGCTGTTTATCTTAAAACAAATTTTAGTTTTTACTAATAGATTTAAAAGTTTTTTTTAAATTTTTTTTGTTTTTTTTTTTTTGTGTTACTAATTCGATTACAAAACTTGGCTTGAATGCAAGTGCTTGGATTTTTGGACAAAAAAAAGAGTTGTTGACCTTTAACTTTATTTATTGTTGATTTCCTATTGACTATATTTATTTAACAATGTCTTTTCGACTATGTTTTTTGGATTATTTTTTTTAAATTTATTTATTAAATTATTTTTAATTTTTTTTCTAATTATTTATATGAAAATATATCGAATTTTGAGCTTAAATTTTTTTTTATAATTTTTAATATATATAAAATAAAATTTTTTTTAAATTTTTGTTTGTAATTTCTAATATGGAAATATTTTGAACTTAAACTTATAGTTTTTAATAAATATAAAAATAATTTTATTTTTTTTTCTAATATAAAAATATATCGAACTTAAATTTTTTTATAATTTTTAATAAATGTAAAATAAATTTTTTTTTAAAATTACTTTTAAATTATTTTTTCAATCTTTTTCCTAATTACTAATATGGAAATATATTAAATTTTGAGCCTAAACTTTTATATAATTTTTATTTTATTTTTATTTTTTTTAATAAATATAAAAAAATTTTTTTTTTTTAAAATCACTTTTTAATTATTTTTTCAATTTTCTAATATGGAAATATTTCGAATTTTAAGCTTAAAGATTTTATTATATATAAAATAAAATTGTTTTTGTATTTATTTTTTCAATTTTTATTTCTAATTTCTGATATGAACATATAACGAATTTTGAGCTTAAATTTTTTTATAATTTTTAAAATTTTAAAATTTAATAATAAATACATATTAAAAATAATATTAAAAATAATTTTAAAATAAAATATTTTTTAAAATTATTTTTATATTTTTTTTTTTTATTTAAAGTTTAATTTTTTTTATATAATTGTTATATAATAATTGTTTGAGCTTAAATTTTTTTATAATTGTTAATAAATATAAAATAAAATTATTTTAAAATTTTTGTTTATAATTTTTTATATGGAAATAGATCGAACTTTGAGCTTAATTTTTTTATAAATATTAATAAATATGAAATAAATTTTATTTTATATTTTCTAATATGAAAATCTATTGAACTTTAAGCTTTAATTTTTTTATGTATTTTATTATATATATATATATATATATATAATATATTTTTTTAAAATTTATTTTCTAAATGTTTTTCAAATTTATTTTCTAAATGTTTTTTAAATTTATTTATTTAAATTTATTTAACATTTATTTATTTAAATTTTTTTTTAATTTCTAATATGGAAATATCTCGAACTTTGAGCTTCAAATTTTTAATGAATTTAATATATTTATCTTTATTAAATTATTATTTATAATTTTTAATAAATATAAAATAATTTTTTTTTACTTACTGCTTTGTTGTTGTCTGCTTGCTGCTAAAAGTTGCACTGGATTTGGTTGTAAATTATCGCCGGATTGTTGTAGTATTTCTTGATTATAGGCCAAGATATTGTCATTTCCCACATGTTGATTATTTGCGATTTCCGGCTCATAATTGTGCACATACGCACTACCCCAATGGCCGTTGAAATCTTCCTCCTCCAGTGTTAGCAGATGGTCAAGCACTTGAACGCCACGTTCAAGTGGACCATGAAATTTGTTTATTAGCTCTGAGATACGCAGGTTGAGGCCGGTAATATCAGATTGTGAAACAGCCCAGTAAAACAGATGACGTCCCAAGTGACTGCTTATGTGATTGGCAAATGCTTCAATCATTTTCGATACACGTGCGCAGCAGTCACGACGACGATGCACATTATGCAAAAGCGCATAATTCAAATTTGTTAACTTTTACACAATTTAGTTACTTTCAATAATAGTTTTTTTTTCTCCACAAAACACTTGAGTGAATGAAGCACTTTAGTGTCACTCACAAACACTTTTTTTTTGTTTTCAATTATGTTCGAGTATTGCAAAACGCTATTATGCAAATTTACATAAGATTTTAATTTAAAATTAAGATGCTTTCTGCTTGATTTGTTCTTTTATTTATCAAAATTATTTGCTTATTCTGTTTACTGAAATTTAAGTATTTTAATTGCTATTAAATTAGTTTGAAATACAATTTTTGGTATGTGTTTTGTTGCATTTATCTTGTCTATATCCTTCATTAAAACACCTCTTTCGATTCAGGCACGCCTAAATTTCAATTATTAAAAGCGGATTTGCTTAATAAACACAATTCAATTAGTTTACTTAGATATTTAATAATATCTGTATAATTCTCTAAAATTATTTGCTTTAACGCTCAAATGCTGATGCGATTGAATGAGAAAATCAGCAAACAAAAGTACGATGTTTAATTAAAATTTTTACAATTGAAAGCTTCAAATTCTAAGGTTGAAAGACTCAGATAAATAAATAAATTTTATATTCTTTAAAGCAATAAGAAAAAAGTTAATGATATTACATAACAAATAAAATATACAGTTTTTTAAATATAATATATATTCATAAAAAAGTTAAGAATACATTCCTGACGTTTAAGACCTTAAGTATGCAATAAAAATTAATAATTGGGCAGTTAATTTAATTAATTTTTAAAAAGCTCATCTGTGTTGATAATAAATTTTAATTTTCTATAATTTTAAACACAAG